ATATATGTATATTGTATATCACAAAGTATTATAGTATATCTATTGAAAGGAGAAAAGTATTACAATACTTTTCTTCACATTTTAAGTCAAAGTTGGTAAGCAAAGAAAGCTTCCCTTAAAAAAAAAGAAAGAGATTTAGTCTTTATATCCAACAGCTAGTAATAGGTAGCAACATTGTCTCATGTTATTACGTGAACGTACAGTTCTGCACAAAATTGTACAAGATATCATCAAATTATTACATGTTCTTGTAAAATTTACTTAAAATTACCAATGAGCTATCTGATCTGTGCTGCATCCAATAACATTTGCGGCATGGCATTCTGCCGCTATTCAAATATTGGCAACCACGCGTAGACATCAGCCAAGATTTTCAAAGCTACATCTAATCATCTCGGTTTTCTAAACATTTTAAATAATTATATAGATATTTCTTATTTTGATACAGCTTATAGCATCCAACGTCAAAACTTTAATTGCCACGAGAGTTACAGCTATTCCAAAGCAATGATTTATCTATTTAATTTAATTATCTTTGGTAATATGATTGCCTCATGCTTCTTGTCGTCGGTTTTACGGGTCCTGTGCCCTCATTAGTGAAAAATAATACGCACAATTAGCAACTTTGCGATGTTACATTAAAAATTTTCCGAATAGCACTCTTAAAACAGAAACGTTTAAATGTTAGGCAAACGATCACTAAAAATTTTCAAGTAGGTATATACTTATTCTGACGAGCGACCCAGCGAACCTTGAGATTAAAGTCTTTGCTTGATCCGAGAACAAATTGGCCGACTAATGAGATAGTAGGGGAAGAACGTTTGGATTACCTCTAAATGAATCAAACTTACTTAAACCCTCACTATCGGCTATCAATTTGGAACCTTACGTCATTTTAGTTTAAGGACGTATTACCTACCCAATCCCATTGTGCATTCTTGCGTGCAAATCACTGTAAAAATATATTTTAAAATGAATTATAAGTAATATCAATTAGTGTAGTTAAATTCTCCTATTAAATATAGGTAAAATGTTCTTCTATCTTATCGTATGTGGCAAATTCTATAAGAATAAACAGAGGGCTGGCATTTTAATTGTAACCACGTATTTAGGTCAAACCAATAATATTTAAACGTGAAAAATGTTTCGCTTTAAAAACGTTTTTATGTTGACCGGCTTGTGTTATGGAGTTGTTTTAAAGTTTTTTGAATGTTTTATGCCTATGGGTAAAGCGGTTGGTAAGCCAACCAAAGTACTGAAATCTCTAACACTTTAAATTTATAATAGCTTTCTGCTTTAGTAGTTGATAAAAATAAGACGATTTTATTGTTAAGCGTGATACATTATGGTGGTATATTAGTTTCGATCAGTGCTTCATAAAAAGCTAGTTAATTTAAGCATCCTGTCAAAGCGGCATGACATCTTGAAATCCTTTATAAAAGTGGTGCGCCGTTTTCTTTGAGAAAATCCTATCACCTCTGAACCGACCCCTAGAACTCCGATAATTGCTTTGGGCCTCTTGGTGGAGACATTACGTATTTATTTAAATATTGTCCACTAAAATGAATGCAAACCACGAACAAACGGTGTTGGCCTAATGGCAAGTCTCAACCCTAATGTCATTTGTTGAATCTCCGCGGAATACTGTACACCAATCGATTTGACTTGCTATTCGCACATTACACTTGCTCTGCTGCTTTCAAGAATCAAGGGTGTGTGTGCACAGAGGGCTGATTTAAAAATAGAAAGTAAAGCCAAGAACAAAGATAGGACTTGTGGTTTTTTTCAACATATGTGTAAGACTCTTCTCATTTATCAAGTGCTATTTGCTAAGGCTACTGACACCACTTACATTTCAATTTAAATACAGGACACATACTGGCAGACAGCCTCACAGCGTATAAAAGTATGTAGGTATTTTAAAACATCATAAAATTACGTTTATTTGTGTTTTACGAACGCCTTCATAACATTAAATAATATTTACCGGATACTAGTCATATAATTGCCATTCTATCTACCTATACTTACAATGTAGACTATATCTGTTATAAAGAAAAGCTCTATATTTCTACGATGACTTTTACGAGCGGCCTTACCGCAGCAGAATAACTTTTTTACAGCCGGGTGATCATCGTAGTAATATTCACTAAGATATTACGGATCCACAACGTCCAATACTTTAGCAAGAAATTATTATGAAACTCGACGAAGGAGTATTGTATATTGTTTTACAGATACATTCCAATGCTGATTGTATATGTAATTGTAAAATATATATACCGTGTTAACAATGCAATTATTTTGGACGTGCGCCTATCTACTTGCTTTTAGTGACGTTTAAATTTCACTACTTAAATATAGTTATAGTCTTGTCATATTCCTATAACATCACAATTTTAGCAGCAGTGCAACACTAAAAGAATTTCTAGAGACAACGATGTAACATTTAATTCGCTATTCTGATCAGGTAAATTCGAAATAATACATGTTAAATTAATTAAAGACATACATTAAACCTTATCACGAAGTTTATATTTATTAAGAACGTCGCTTTCAGTTTCATGTTTACACAAAATATCTACTTCCGAAATTGACGAAGTTTCGGCGGTAGTAAATTAAATTTAAGCCGACAGGATCAAAGTTAGCATTCACATAACTGAAATGTATGTAATGAAACCACGTGTAATTATTAAGAGAAAGGGGCTATAAAGTTAGTGGCTTATACCATGTTTAAACGTTTAGCAAACAGTGGTTATTTCTCGCTTTCAACTTTGATATACGGTACTTTGGTTCCGTCGTAAGTTTCCTGTTGTAAGGTGATTCGAATAACGTAGGGGAAAAAGAAAAGCTATGTACTTTCTCCCCTTGTCAAGTGTGTGTTTTTAAGTTTAGTACGAGCTAGAAATAAACGAAACAACATTTATATACGTATTACGTATACTTACTGCTCTATTATATATTTCATTCCACGCGTTTCTCATTACGTGAGATATTTATTCGTGGTATGGGCAGAACTTAGTGAATCAATTACATTCCATCGTTAGTACTTGAATGCATTTCAGATATTTCTATATTAAAATGGGAAATAAAATTAACGAATAATTTTAAATTAAGCCTTGTTTATTTATCCATGAACGTCGATAAACAAAGTCTTGTACATTACGATACGATATTAGAATACGACGCTGCGAATAGTCGTTGTTTTTAAGCTGTACTTTTTCTGACCTACAACTCGTAACCAATTACGACTTTAGAACCAATTGTAAGAAGAACATCTGTAAGACTAGTTATGCAGTATTTGTTTTTACGTATGCAATCAAAATATCAAGCCTATTGTAATAATAATTACTATGAGAACAGCAATACAGATACGCTTAAAGATCTTCCGCTTCCGACCTTATGCTTTACTTAGTTTACTCATAAATAATAAGATGTATAACGTAAGGCAATATATAATAAGGAATGGGGAAAAAACTTTAATTCATATTATAAACTCACTCTTCGAAGAAAGAGAAAACAAGAAACCTCAAAGTGCATCGGAAGCATGCATTCAGCACGTCCCACTGCGGCAGTTTATTCCACATTACTTCTTACGTTGATATTAGAGGAAGCTCTCGAACAAGCTCACGGGGAATACAAATCGTATACATCCAGCATTTGGCAGCTTGCTCGAGTTTCTTTATAGTTTGTACGTGATTATTTATTTGTCCACGTGTTTTTCAAACGCTTATATCGCCGTATTATCTTACAAAATCAAGTTAGAGATTATTGCCTACCTTAAGTATGCCATAAGTAGCAATTGTATGGTGGTAGGCGTATTGTAATCTATTTATTTACTGACGTTGAACGTTTGTAAATTTTTTACAATATTTTTAAAATCGCTTCAGTCGTTTTTTAATTAAATTGTTACAAAATAAAATGTATTCTTTATAATATTAGTGTAGAAAATACAGACATTTACGCGATGGTAGAACACCGATGTATTTAAACATTTATTTCCAAAATATCGTCAACAACAGGAACTTCAAACAGTTAAGGAAAGATAACCTAATTGAAATAGGTAAAATTAAAACAAAGCAAAAATAAATAATCTCCCTTTATAAGATAAAAAATAAGACTTAGTCCAAAAAGCTGATTAAATATACAACGTCATGAATTATTATGAAACGTAAAATATTACGAACATAACTGAAGTGGATTTTTTAGTATAATTTAAGAGCTGATGAAGGTTTAATCATCTAAATGAAAGCAGGCCACGTAAATTATTAAGTCGAGCCGCGACCCATTTGCTGTCGCAACAAAATAAATTTTTAACCTTGGACTACACCCTGCCCTGACATTGGCTACTCGTAAACCAATTGTGAGTTTTTTTATAAAACAGGGGGCAAACGGGCAGTAGGCTTACCCGTTGTTAAATGATACCGCGCGACTGCGTTGCCGGCCTTTTGAGAATTGGTGCGCTCTTTTCCTGAAGGACCCTAAGTCGAATTGGTTCGGAAATACTTCAGTGGGCAGCTGGTTTCACATAGTGGTGGTGCGCGGCCTAAACTGCCTTGAAAAACGCTCCGTTGTGGAACGGCGGACGTCGAGGTGATATGGGTGGAATTTAGTATTCTGCCTCGACGTCCGATGATGAAACTCAGCTGCAGGTATTAATCCGAACAACTGTACACTCTCCGTGGTAAATGCGGTAGAAGATGCAGAGTGACCCAACATCTCTACGCAACGCCAAAGGATCAAGCCGCGTTTTGATGTCATTAATGATAATTAAATTAATAATATTGTAAATATTAATCATCACTAATTGACATCTTTTATTTAAAGAAATATACTGTGTTAAAAGCTCACTCTCTTTTCATCACAACTCAAATACCATGTGACAAAGAGAATGAGTACTTAGATGAACAGATATTGGTTAGATACATTTTTTGCATCGATATATTTGTAGATGAAATTTTTATTTACAGAGTTTGAGGGTGGGATTAATATTGTATGAATCAGGTGGGGTCCACTATAGCGTAGGGAGGTTCGGCATTCGTTGTTAGATAGTAGATTCCGTCTTTCCTGAAAAGAAACTCTTGTTTAATTATTATACTTGGCAGTATTCATCATCATAGTCCATTTAATTTTTATCTTAAAAATATGTTGAATTGTGTTAAATATTTGTATGAATAATACAAAGTCCGTGCTATATGCTATAAATATATGATTTAACGTATACAAAATTCAACATTCAAAAATCATTTAATCATGTAGGTAACACATTGTACACTTATGACTTGTCAGTAAAGAAATACATATCAATGCTTCTAATTTTACATTTAGTGCCAGTTCTCAAATCAAGGGCGTAGAACTGAAGAGAAGAACTGGCAATAAACTCTCCACCACTCTTTTTTTTCTACACAACGTTTGTAAGGAGCTGCAACCATTAAACCATGTTCCACATGACATCTTAAGTAATTAATAATAATAACATAAATTAAAAACAAAGAGTTGTCCTCTATCAGCAGGAGGCATGGTGAAATAGGAGCACGCACTTACATTCTCTATACATGTTTAAATTAACATTTTATACAGTGTCACACTCTTAGTAGAAAATAAAAAATATATATTCTTGTGTAGTTTTCGCGGTATTAGTCGTTAAAATTCCCAAAATTAGAATATGTGTTTTGATTAAAAGTACTAATCAAATTCAATTTGGTTTCACAATTATTCCGTTTAAGTTCAAACGTCATGAAATGATTACAATCCTCGTAGATAAACGATGCATGTGATACAGACATCGGAGCTTTTAATATGTTTTTATTATATAGAAGAAGAATTATTAACACTAATAGAAACCATATACCGTTATATGAAATAGGTAATAATATACCGTTATATAATAATAGGCGAAATAAACAACTTTGATTTTTTTACCTATATACTAGGTGATTAGATTTTTTGGACTATTGCTTGCCCCGGAATCTTTACCTTTACTTGTGACGTTTGTGTGTGTCATCTCATTTAACAGCCGTTTACAATACATAAAAAACCAGGACCTTTAAAAATTATTTATTGCACGGGCTTAAAAAAGAAGTTGATCGGCCGGCCTTCTGTGCCTGTCACATCGTCCATTTTTTAAGATTTGTCACGTAACGACGTTTTTTTTGCCGTACGAGCAAGATTAAAATGAGAAATTCATTGGTAGACAGCAGGGATTCAATGACACGACTTCCGTGTGTGAGTCGAGATGCGTAAACGCTACAAACTCGTAGCAATTAAATCCGGTACATGGCATGTAGAAAGCAGTTAATCAACAAAGCTTTGAAGAAGCTTTATTGCAACAACCTTGGAGGTCTTAACCCAAACTTCATGTGTATATTGATTTACTCGAACCGTTGTATTCCCTAAACACAGCTCGGTAGAGTAAGCAAATATTTATGAGTAGTTAAAATCACTTTGCAAGTGTAATGGATACACACAGTAGCTTGTTCTAGTGAGTGCTGTTTTGTATTTTCAACGTCTACTGATTTCATCGAAATTTGTGATTGAAATGCATATTTAAACAACGAGATACTTGAGCTTTCAGCTAGCACGGAAATAATAATGATATACGCCACGTAGCCTTTCAAACCAAATATGTATATATTTTTAAAGAATCTTAAAATTCGATCAAGGCGTTTCGGAGGAATGTCAAACATAAAAACTTAATAAAATTGTGACATGGCAAGGACAGTAATTCGGCAGTACTACAATGTATGTCAGAAGGCGACATCGTCCCCCGTTACTCCAAGTGAAACCTTCAGAAAAGGGCACATATGATTCGGTATATAAATTTAGTTAACGAATAACATACGTTAACGGACCTTTTTATTGACCCTCGAGTAAACTGACAAAAGTTCTATTCTTGTTAGTGCCTATAGCAATTAGTTTTTGTATTTTTATTATGTAATATTGTTTTTCCGAATTAATTTCTTATTGTTGTGCACACTTGGGGTCACCTGTTAGGACAGGAATGTTTTTTATAAACAAATAAATACAATGTATATTTATTCTCAGTTTGAATGTCAAAGATTCTTAACTAGATGCTTCGGTTAAATTTGAAGGAAAATAAATTGATAGTAAAATACATGTATATATATATATATATAGCTTTTATTATATCATAGAAATCGTAACTAACTAAAAAAACTAAAGAAATGCTATCATGATTGAATAAATACGGCGTTTATTGCCAGATAAAAAAATCTATAATTTCAGAAAGATTTTAGAAAGTTATTCCATCTTTGGAAACTGTAACGTCACTGTTTTTCATTTACTTGAATTCAGACGAGGTTGTCGACCTCAAATACGCATGTCACGTTAATTAATTAATTTTACTTACCCGTAATGAATGTCGAATCCGCCCATGATCAACGTCTCCCCAGTGCCTTTGCATGAGCCCGAGTAATACAATTCATCATAGTCCTTACATCGAACTCCAACGAAAGCTACATTTGATATTATGGATTCCGCGAAAAACATATGGGCTCGATTATGTGCACATAGACCTATAAATATATATGAGCTGGTCTGAAACTTTTAATGTACCAATAATATGAGGAATATTATTGGTACAGTAAAAGTAAGCCACTGTGATGCATGGAGCATATATGTGTCTGTTTCATTATTCTTATCTTCAAAGGTCGATGAACCTTTGCCTTAAAGCTGAAAAATATATTGTTTCGCTGGGAACTCGTTAACAACTAAAACCGATGTGGTAGGGGAGCGTAAAAATTTCAAGCATGGTTCTCTCGTTTACGTTAATATGCTATTTGGTTTACATACATTGGAATTACGTCATTAGATAAAATCTGTTTATTCCTTTACATAGTTAGCGTTATTCAACTGGTAAAGAGTTCTTGATTTTTGTTTTGAGTTTTGCGCGTCTAAAATATGTAATATCTTTTTTAAATTACCGTAAAGGTTAATTTTAAGCTTCAAGGTACATAATTGCTTATCTTTCGAACTTCGAGTGCTTATAAATATGAATTAGACCAAGAAAATAGACTTATATTTCTGATACAAAAAGTAAAGTAAATGAAATATCACGGGTACATGTTTAGTTGCAATAACTTAAGATTGTGACTTATGTTCGATAAAGAGATTACATGTTACGAATATAGTTAGAAACGTATGATTTACGTTACTTAAATAAGAAAAACCATATTATAGTTGATTTTGTTTTCTGAAACTTGAATGAGAAATGAAATGAATTAAAAACCCGTGACTCGGTTTAACCTGTAGACATCTTCACTATAGAAAGTGAGGTAGGCCACAGTTAATATATAAGGGAGTCCTACAAAAATTAAAAAAATGTAATCCAATGTTGTTGTGATGGTTCAATCTCAATAATATAATTCATCGTGTAGTTAGGTCCTTATTAATCGTGCGCAGCGTAAACTATAACATCCTTGATTGTATGATTATAACAGTCGTTCTAATATGTATTAAAAGTTAATGCTTGCTTGAGTTATATTTGGATTTAAATAAATTTTAAATAAAAAGACACTATAAATCTACCTATTTTTACAAATATTTTATAAAGAACAAAAATAAAACACAATTAAATCGTACGTTATTAATACGAGTAGTATTCCTTTCCTCGTAGTTGCAATGTATGCAAAAATAGTTTAATTATAAATTTGTGTTATGTAGAAATGATAAAGTAAAGTACAGTTAAAAAGGAAGTGACTAGTGCACTTTATTTTACCTAAATATGCTGTTATTGTGTATAATAAAGTTTTTTCTTTCCTTCTAGTTTTAAATCTTTTTCATTCTGCGTATTTTGGTTTCATCGTAACTTTTTTTATGTAATTGGAGGCAAACGGGCAAGAGGCTCACCTGATGTTGAGTGATACCGCCGCCCATAGACCTCACATTGCCAGAAGGCTTTTAAGACTTGATACGCTTTAATCTTGAAGGACCCTAAGAACTAACTAACTATCTAAAAAAACATTTTTAATAGTGAAAATACAACTTAAAGCAGTCTTGAGAGTTATTAGTATAAATCTCACCTCGATAGTCAATTCCACAGCCGGGCTGTCGAGTACCAGCATTCGGGTAAAAGTCTATATGGCCAAGAGGTGACGCGAATCCCAAATATCCTCCGCAGGTGTGTATTACCTCCACATGCCTCGCATCATGCTTGTCTAATCGAGCATCTTTATTCCCAACAGTAAAAAGTGGTAATGCTGGATCCAAACCTGAAATACGAAGTCAAGATTTCAGTATTTTTAAATAAATACAATTTTAATATTTTCACAACCATCGCAAGTAACACAATAGTAATCATAGCTTGTGATACATTTCTCAGAAAAACGAGCATTCTTTTGCATATACGCAATTTGATATTGATAATCTATAGTCGAAATTTAATAAATAATCTTATAATATTCTCACTCATTTCTACATTGGCCCAATATATAATGTATGTGGATCATTACCTGTAATTGTGTCTATGGGCCCTTGATTCACGTAAGCTCCAGCTATACCAACAACGTGTGCACCTAAACTATGGCCTATTAGATGCACATTATCCATGGAAACACCCTCGGTGATTAGAAAATTCAGGAACTGTGTTAGTACGCGCCCAACCATGGCGACATTGTAACTAGCCAGGATATAATTTACATTCGCTGCGTTTCCCCAATCAACAACTATTATGTTTATATCACTTACGTTTAGATAGGCTTAAACAAACAAACAAGAATCATTACCTGAAACTCAACGAAAGAAACTAAACCGATGTATTTTTGTTAAAGAATAACAACGACTGGAGGAATATCGTAACTGACTAGTAATAACTTTTGTGGATTGTATTTTGAAAAACATTATTTGTATGATTTTAATGGACTGGATTCTACTATTGTAACACTTTCCTTTTCGTAAAATATGTTAGATTTGTAAACAGATATTTGTTTAAATTACACACATAAACTGTAGATATTATTTACTCAACAGAATACTTAAGAATTATTTTTTTTAATACAATTTCAATTGTTACCTTCTTTAATAGACTCGGGCATAGGACTATCGCCATGATTCAACCAACCATGGGTCAAAACTTTCACCTTATTGTTGAAATTGAAATTCGAGTTGCGTAATGACGATGAATCATTTACTTTCAGCATTTGGTATTCAAAAGGATTTCGCCTGCAAACGAAATGTTTCGAGCCTGAGATATCAATATCCGGTGAGCATTTCCTCCCATTAATATAAATAGCTATAGCTAGGATTTGTAGCTTTGAGATGAACTTTAAAATTTTCATGGTTAATTTATTCAAACTCAAACTCAAAATAACTTTATTCGTATAGGTAAACAAGTACACTTATGAACGTCAACAGAAAAGATTATAAATTAATTCTAAATTTACTACCAGTTCGCAAGTCAAGGGCGGATAGCGGGCAAGAACTGGCAAGAAACTCTCCGCCACTCTTTTTAATCGCTAAGTTTCTAATCTATCTATGTACCTATCGCTATTAAGTAGAGGACACTAAGGAACAAGAGCGCACACGGCACATGTGGCGTTCCTTCCTCACCGCCATATTAGGATAGCAAATTCGCCATTTAAGTATGTATTTTAATTTATTATTGTAATCATAACTTTACCTACATATTAAATTATAAATGTATTTTTAGAATTTAAAAATATTAGTACATATAATATGGTAATGAAATATTTTCATAAAGAATTACCTCGTGAATAATCTAAACATGACGTCTTGATCGTTAACCCAACCCCACCAAAACCGGGTTTCATTCAGGGAAGGAACAGACGCGTGGGTTTGTAGACTTGCAAACCAGACCGGATCATATGGTGTCGGTGCTTCCCATTCTATTGCTTTCACTAGAAAACATAAGTCGAAATATGGTGAAAACTATTTTGGCTTAGTTGCTAGGCACGCGACTGAGAATCGTGCGTTCAAGTCCAATGGATTCTACTATCTATATCCGCTAACAATACTTGCTTGTTGTGAAACATTTTTGCAACCAGCACGTCTAAAATCAAAAAATCTACGGCATGTGTCACAAAAGGTTAATAAACTAGATCAGGTTGGCTTAAAGCGCCATCTCTGGTTGTCCCCTTAACTGTTTAGAAAACCTAATCGGTATATGAAACTCAAAATAAAATATATTGCATGTATTGAGAATGAATTGCAATTTCATATTTCATGCAATTTCATAACATCGGGCACTTAATAAAGCTTAATTTTGGCAACGTGGAACACAAAATTGATGTAAAGTTAACAGGATTGGAGTACCTACTGAAGTAATACTAATTGTTTTATTATATTAAAATAGAAGAAGCAAATATTTAAAAAAACTTAACGATAATATTTCGAAGAGATTTGATCAAAAATACTAAAACAACACAAAACCGCACATTTAACATATGTAACGACATTTATTTTATTTATATTACGATATTATTAAAATATTTATTGATCAGATATATAGAAGTTACTAATAACATAACTAAAAATCTTGCTTACAAAAACGTAAAACTTATACGGTACATCTTAAAAACTAACACAGCATGCATTATAAATATAAAATAGACTTTAATATAAATATGAACAAGAAATCAAACTTTGTTACAAAAAATATAATTTAAATAGATTTAAAACGTTTTACGCAATATATTATTTGTAATTACACCGCTAAAATTACGTTCTGTTTTACTGCAAATCTAAATAATAAGAAATTGAATCCGAATTAAATGAGAATTATGCCTAGTTTAGTATAAATATGCTTCATTAGTACAATTAATATTATTAATAATAGATCAAATTTAAACAAACCTGTACAAATAAAACACAAAAGTAAAAACATTCTGATGTTGTTTCAATAACATAACTAAATATAATAAATAATAACACTAATTTGGCACAAATTTACTCTAAAACTGATCATTTTGGAGGTAAACGTGATTTGCGAACCGACCTCAAGAACTCCCACATTTTCACTGACTGGACGATGTAAAGAATTTAAATTTGCTTAGCGGTACAGGTTGGATCATTACGATTCATAGAACGCACAACTAGCTTGCTCACTGATCATAATAATCAAGGAGACCTCATTAATAGCACTAGTATTCAACTGTATGCAATTTCCTGATACCAAATTTAGGTAGGTACACAGCGCTGTCTTCGAAAATTAATACAGTAACGTAAATCTTCCGTTTCTTTTAACGTGAGCCTTTATAAAAATACTATAAGAAATGTCTACCTAATGTATATCTACCTGTCCCAAAAGAGACCAGTGGCGCTAGAACCCTTGGTCTTGGCCTCAGATTTCTGTAAGTATCTGTTTCGTAGTCATTTGTTTTTTCAAATAGACAAGTTGATGATCAGCCTTCTGTGTCTAACACACGCCGTCGACTTTTTGATTCTACGGCATTCCCGTTTCCTCACGATGTTTTCCTTTACCGTACGAGCGAGTGTTACACCTGCACATCGACAGAAAAGTCCATTAATCCGGGGTTTGAACTTACGATCTCAAAGATGAGAATCGCACGCTCAAGCCACTCAGCCAGCAGTGGTCTATATCTACCTGGTGCAATATAAAAATATTTTTTTACAATTATTGTAATGTCAATTTTCATCGCATTTGTAATGGGAAGAAGCTAAATAATTATATGCGAATGGTCAATGAAGGATTGTATTTATTACTTATATATAATATAAACGTCAACAATTATATTAAATTTTATTTTTCTCTTCTATTTCGTTCACACAAATTCCAACTACCGGCCAGAACTGGCGGTAGGTATCGTTCCAATGGAAGAAATAAGATCCAAATTAATTAACTGAAGATTTATTGGTACTATTTCACGTGTATTTAAACACCATACGCAATCTATACGTGTCCCTTAAAAAAGTCGATTTAAAACCCTGGGTGGCTGGAGTACTGCGTTGCATTAGGAGCAGAAATAAAATGCAAGAAAACCTAAAAATAATACCCATTTGATAAGGTATTGAAAATCACGTATACAAGATATCGGATCTTTTGCACTGTCAATTAAAAATAGAAACATAGATATGATAGGACTCTTTAAGATAAATCTATTAATAACTCTAAACTCCTTTCCTCCTTTAAAAATATCACCAATTTAAAACATGCTCAATCATCTAATAATGGACTTCTCAATATAGCACTTATCCGGATTGGAACTGTTAATCAAATAAATTTAAGTAGGTATACAACTTGTTGGAAATATTAAAAAAACACTACATTTAACATTAAATAATAAGCCCAATTTGATACAAATCCTGTTTCATACTGATTTTAAGTTAATACTTATATCAATTATTATTTTTTATATCAGTGATTTGCTACTAGTTTCTTTACTGTAACAAACTTTCAACCGATTTGGCATACCTATTAACATTCTTAATTGGCCGTGGACTACCGAAAAACATGAGCGATAATGTGTGTCTTTTTGTAGCACTGTCATGGCGTCGCTTATTTTCATTTTCATTCAAACAGCTAACTTAGTTTTCGACTTTCTACATACCCTACTATTAAGGCATCAAGGCCCCAAGCCTCAACGTTCGAATCGCAAATCGCAATTCGATGATTATAAATTTATGCCACCGTTCCTAATTCCGATCGCCAGGATTTTACCCGTATCGGCAGTGATGCCAACTTGGGGGTTTTCCCCCCAAATTTAGGGGAAATCAAGATGTCCTGGTGGTTTAAGAGGTACATTTATTTAGGAAGATTTTTAGGGGGCACTTTATACCAGATTTTTTGCAATTTATATTAAGCCTCGAATCCAACCAACAAGCTAAACCAATGGGGAACATTCTGTAGGAGTTGGCATTACTATTTCATTTTTGAATACCTACAACCTTGTGGTCTGTACTACCTACAGTGATGCTAACTTGGGAGTTTATTCCCGCAAGATATGAAATTAGGTGCATATAATTAGGCCATTAAGTAATACATATAATATAATATTATGTATGTAAATGTGTAAAATGCATCACTATAACCGCTATTTTATTTAAAACTACCTCTCATTCCGAGCGTACAATAAAAGATTTAGGGGTTTTTAGTCGATATCTAGGGGTATTTGAAGTTGGTTTTAGGGTGTATATATTGTAGGAGTTGGCATCACTGCGTATCGGTCGGTTAGAAAATCGTAAAGATCCGAGGATCGTGATTCGTGCTTCACTAAGAATCGATAAAATATTAAATATATGTAAAAAAAGTTTTATTTATTGTAGGACTTATTTTAAAGAGCCGTAATTAATGTATACTGCGTACTGACTACTGAGTACTGTCTCGTGGTCTGTTCAGTGTAAGCGGCTTATTTTGTTTTGTTCATAACCAAACAGGAAGTGATTTTTCTAATTTTTTATTGTTTAGAGAATTTTTAACAGTTACTTAGTGTTTCTGCAGTTTATAAACAGTTTAATTTGTTGGCACTTGGCAGTGTCTTTCTGTCATTAAAGGAGAGAAGGCATCTTAAATTTTTTAAATTTAACATGGCATTGGTGAATCACACAAAAATTCTTGAATTTTTAGAATTAGTTGGTCGCCTTAAGGTAAGTGCACATTTCGCAAAAATGTCAGAACAAATTTTCACGTGGTTGACCCATGGCAATGTAAATTACCTAAAACATTGTACATTTTTACTTGCTATCTAGCATTATTCCATGCTTCAATAAAATAAACGAATCTGCCCCGAAAGAGCTTTTCCTGAAATATTTTTGAAATATTTACAAGCTATTCTCCCTAATTGGGTCAATCATTTTTAAATCTGATGTTTGGATTTGATGACCATCACATTTATTAAACCATATAATTAAACACAATCATATGCTACTTGCGTGTTACACTTTTAAATATTTCTTTCTCAGCACATCAAGAGAACAGGATGGATATTGTGTGATATAAATGATTGTGAAACAATTGCTGGTCACATGTATAGAATGGGTCTTATGACATTTCTGCTTACTGAAGAAAACAATCCAACAAAATTGGACCGCTTTAAATGTCTTGAAATAGGTAATATTTCATACAATATTTTATCTTAGTAATATATGATAGATATGGTCTTTACAATATCAAGTGCAATTATCTAAGAATTATAAATTAAAAGTGATGTACTTTTCACCTTCAAGATTAAATTTTAATGCACATTTTTTATTTCCTTGATTAACATAATTTTATCATTCACTAGGAATATCAATACTGTTGAGGTGTAATTCAAATAAAATTAGGCTGAATTGATTATTTTTTAATTCTTATATTCTTCAGCCGTTCTATGTTCTTAAATACTTGGAAATAACAACTACAAATCAAATTATTATTTGTGTCAATGTAATTACTTTAGTAATTATAATATTTTGTCTTCCTAAATTTAAATAAAAACTGTTAAATTACGTTGATATATGTGTAAAATAAAAAATTCAATAAAATATACAATTTTTTTAAATACAATTCTTTCTCTTAATAGTAGAATAATTGAAACATTCGACTGTGTTTTTTGGAAAATACAAAAGATTAAAATTGCAGTTTTGCTTTTGATATAATTTTAGAAAATATAGAATAAATCTATAGAAATAAATATATCTCCTAACTAATGTAAACATTTGAAGTTCAGTTACATTGTTATACTATTATTATACTTTTTACTTTGTTAATATAACATTGTAAATGACAGTTTATCATTCTAGCTCTAGTCCACGATTTGGCTGAATGTATAGTTGGGGATCTGACACCCCACTGTGGGGTGCCCCCAGATGAAAAGCACAGGAGAGAGACTGAGGCTATGAAGAAAATAGCAGAATTAACAGGAATTGCTGGAGACAGAATGTATAATCTATATATGGTAAGTTTCAATCATCAGATAGTAATTTTTGTTGAAACAAAAAATTATAAAATAAAAATTAACAGTTATATATTACTCTTCAGGAGTATGAAAGCCAAAGCTCACCTGAAGCAAACTTTGCCAAAGATTTGGATAGATATGATATGATCCTTCAAGCATTTGAATATGAAAAAAGGGAAAATTTACCTAAACATTTGGAGGAATTTTTCACAGCAACATATGGAAAATTCAAGCATCCATTTATTCAAGATTTGGCCAAAGAACTATATAGACAGAGAGAAGATTTTGAAAAAAATGCTTTAGTAAATGGCAAAACTTAATTGAATTAGTTAACATAACATTATATTTAGTTAGTGGAGTTTTTAATAATAGGTTGCAAATTAATATAAGTTAAATGTTACCAAGTGCTACTCAGAAGCACAAAACTGCATTGCTAAAAAGGTTATATTTTGTTTATACTTGTTATTTTTGTTATAGTACATATATGTATTTTATAGATTATTTTTTTGTTTCTCAGGAAGCGTTTAGCATAGCCTTAATAATATATTGCTATATTTCATAAGATTCCAATGATGATGACCGAATGTGCTAAAACCTTTAATGAAACTGTCATAAGATCTGCAGCAGATCCAGGAAAAGCAAGTTCCAATCATAAAAATTTAATAGTCTAATGGCGAAAATCTTAAGTGTTGTTGGTTAAAGTATATTTTAATTTTTTTTAATTAATAGAATGAGTTGACATAGGTTTCTACTATTTTTGCATAATTTGTGTGAAGTGTTCTAAACTTTAAGCTATTTATTTGTACCTATCAATTAATGGCATTTTAAAAAAATGCTATCAACAAATTTATTAAGTACTACTAACAAAATTAATTGTATACCGTTACCATAAATAGGTCTCAATTGCATATTTTTAACTAAAGTACTCATTTGTCTCTTCATCTAAGCATAAACAATATTACATAGACAGTTTAGTTAAGTTTCTATGAGTAAAGGGGTCATTAATTTGTAACCATTAATCAAGAAACGCTCAGCCATGAGCCAACACTAGGTCTAAGTTTGTTTACAAGTCACATACAAAATTTTGTTACTGTTTTTTTTAAGCTATATTGAATACAAACTTTGATGTGCTTATTACATATTTATTTCAGTCTTACAGGCAGGTAGGTGTTATTTGTCATTACTATTGTTTTAGCAATATTCTCTATTAAATTCTTTTATAAAGGTTTGTTGTCCATACATTTTTATTTTATAGGTAATAAAATACTTTTTTAACATAGTATTATTTATTTATCCTGGTCTGTCTCATCTACATGGTTGATTACAAATTATAACATGCTTCTGTGTTCAGAATTTATGATAAGAGTTTTTGAAGCAGTCTCAAACTTGCGTGTGAAATCAATAGACCTTATTAGATCTATTGAAGCATTACTTAAAATTTTGAAAGGGACCAAGTTAAGTAGAGATGCATGCTGCATTAAATCTTTAAGTCCAAACTTTTATTATGTCCTGACTCAAACTTCAATGTTACTAAGTCTATATTTGAAAAGGAGTAGATACAAACAACAGTGTTTTTATATTTTATTGTACAAAAAGTGAGCTGTTGGCAATACATACAAATTTATGAAGTATTCAGTCAACTTAAAGATTTTATAAATGCTATAAATCTTTGCATGACTTGTTCGCAGTAATATTTAATTCTAAAATATCTTATATCATACATATTCTAACCATACCATAGATCCTCAAACAAAAGTACTGAAGTGATAAAAATAGATGTAATATGCAAAAGTCATGTAATAAATTGAGACAATTGCTTGTATGGTCTTTCAATCAATAGTATCATATTTAGGTTTGAGTCTAAAATATTTATCATCACTCCCAAGTATAGCAGTCCATTAGAATTTAATTGTAAACATTTGTATTAATTAACAGGTTGCTTTTGGGATGCCTCTTGTTCCTCTTTTCTTCGTTGCTTTTCTCTCATTAATTCAGCATCTCTGCAAATATGCAAGTCAATTTAATATTATCCACCTTAGCTTCACACAAATTCAACAGTCTATAGATAATTCTGTTTCAGGCAGCATGATACATATAAAATTAAATGGAACTTATTTGAAGTTAAGATGCACACACAATATGGGTTATATTATAAAAGCAGGATTTATTTTTCTTTTAGTATATATAAATGTATATATATGCACAAATATTAAATATTTTTGCTAAAATATCACAATATCAAAAACTTTCCCATAAGGCTTTCTTAACATGATTAATAAAAATTTGACTTGTTTAGATGAGGTTATAATTTTTATATCTTTTTAATGAAACTTTCATTTTTATAAAAATGTTTACCTGTGTTTTCTTTCACTTAATGACATGCCAGATTTTTCACTAGCAGTTTTCTTTTTTTGATGTTCTTGTTGTTTTTTCTGGTTTTTAGCACGAGCTAGGTCTCTCTGGTTTCCCCCTGAAATGTTTACATGAGAATTAATGCACATAATATTATAAACTTGCACTAGTAAAACTATAATTAATAATTCCCTTGAGAAATTACTGTCTTTTTACTATTTCTTTACTGTCTACTAAATTTCTTACTCTGTCTGAAAACATGTTATATAATTTAGTTTGCGTTTCGCAATAAGGTCTTGGGTTTAAAACCATAAATATTGTTAGGATCGAATAGATCAACGAACCGTTACAAGATAGATGGTTGGACCGTTGCAGTAATAGGCAATAGCTACTGAAATCGAATTTGTTAACATACACCTACACAAAACGTACTGCGTGTATATTCTGGAGCATTCTTTAATGTTAAAATTTGGTATAAGAATAAATAATCATGGTAGAAATAGAATAGATTAGATCAATTACTTTAATTAAAGATGTGTTCTAAGATAAACTTACGAGTCATCGTGGATTTAATCGTTTCTTCAAGTCTTGTAGCAACAAAATATGTAAAGTTTGGGGCGCTAGAAATGAAGACCGGACGATACGCTAGCCCGGCCGAAACCTAGGACAACGCACCGCCCTCCTTTTTTCAATATAAAATGAAATATCAACTCAACTAAAAGAGAAAAACGTCACTATAACAAAAGCGCACTTTTCATTTGACTTCACCAACATCTGGCCATATTGGTTAGAACTTAGAAATTAGGATAAAGTTACCATAATCAACAATTCAACAGTCAATACGCAAGTCGCAAACTTATTGTAACAGTAAAATAAGTTATCCTGTTTTTTTGAGTAATAAATGTGCATAAAGTTATTATTTAAAGTAAGAATGGTGTACGTACTATATTTAAATTGATTAGGTACATTAAAAACACTCAAGTTCCATAATATTCTAATCTACAATACAAACTACAAAGCTTCTACAATCTACATAGTACATATTTTTTTGTTATTCAATATGGCAGCATCAACAGCACAGATAAAACATTATCTTATAAAACATAATGTTTTATCTGTGCTGTGTACCGTGTTCGGTCAGTATCCAGGGCCTTAGTCAAGATGCCTTAACAGTAGTGTATGTAGAAAGTCGAAAACTTAATTTGTATGAAAATGACAGTTAGTGTCGAAAAGTTTTCATACAAATTTAGTTTTTGACGTTCTACATACACTACTGTTAAGGCATCTTGACTAAGGCCCCCTAGTTTCTACTGATATCTGGATTATGGATTCTACTAATTCCCATATAACATATTCTAGAAAGTCAATCGAACTTAAAAATAGTTTCAAGTGCTTTAAAAACCATCTATTCTGTTAATGAAGTTTAACATATTTGACTGCGCTCAAGACCAGTAGGTGACTTGAGTTACGATAGAATATGGACCTAAGATCATTTACGAGACTTCTAAAGATAGTATTCAGAAATATGATTTTTCTTATACTAATATGAAGGAGAGTCGCAAAAGAAGGACGGTAAATATTTCTTTCGCTTTCTTTTAATTTCTCAGTTTACACATGGTCTAAGATCCCGCTATACAACGACCTTCACCGAGATGCTTATTTAATGAAACTTATTTTATATATAATTTAATATGTCAATAAATATAATCCATATGGGTTGCCTAGCAAATTTCAGTCCAGAGTATGTTTAATTAATTTAAAAAAAATATTTTTTTAAACATTTCACCGGTATGATTATTAGATAAATTCTATACCAATCGAACGTATGAAGCCCATAGAATATGCAAACGTTAGGTTGTTTTTAATCAACTAATTATTTATGTGTATATTTTTTATGTGACACTAAAGTATATATACATCTTTAGTATAAAAGAAGGTTATAGTGATACATATATAATACTACCCTGATTAAAAATATTGATTGAAAAAAGTTCAAAAAATTTACTACATGCAAATTATAAAAAAAAATTTTTTTTTTTAATATTAATTAAACATACTCTGGACTGAAATTTGCTAGGCAACCCATATGGATTATATTTATTGACATATTAAATTAAATATAAAATAAGTTTCATTAAATAAGCATCTCGGTGAAGGTCGTTGTATAGCGGGATCTTGGGGTCTAGCCATATTGGTGTCGAAAAGTATTCTACATACACTACCGCTTTTGCGTAATTGTATTGTCGAAAACGCTTCGTTCGTAGCCAAGAGGCATGTCGATACATTACCGCAAAGTCGACAGCGTAGATGCGAGCTGCTGTTCGTAGCACCTTATTCCGTCATATTGTCTCTGGATTAAATGTATTCCTAATGTCACTTTTATAAACAAATAAAAGTTAAAACTTTACAATATTATTGTAAATTTGCAATTGGAAGCTGCAAAAGGGACATTAGAATGTTAGCAAGGTCGGAAAAATTTTCGATTTAAGTGGAATTACGGAAGATGCAAAGTGAATATATGAATTTTAATTGCATGTTTAAATTAATTATGGTTTGTTTCATGTTTTCTCAGAAATTTAAGGCTACAAATAAATACAATATTTTGAAATTGCATAATCGCGATATATAATAATTAGTAGTACTCATACTTTGATATTTTTCGGATTTGACCTCACAACTAATCTGCAAAATGAAGAAGCAACATATTTTGTTACCGTTTATAAGAAACAATAGAAATAGTACTGTGGATTGATATATAAAGAGTGAAAATAAGGTTGACTAGAAGTTGATAAAGTCCAAGGAAATAAAAAACAATAGAAAAAAACGTAGACTAGTGTGAACACTGAAATTAGAGTTCGATTTAAGCTTTAATTAGGTTTGGTGTTTGTTCTTGAACATTTTTAATGTCAATTTGAAAGCACATTTACCTATATATAAGTGTAGATTTTATTAGTGATTTGCTACTAGTTGGAATTATCTCTGTTTATGTCCAACAAACAATTTCAGTTTAAGTTAGAGTCATAAAGGTTGATTGTTTATAATATATTTATACTTTTAGAAAGTGAGAATTGAAAAACAGCAAGTACTCAATTAAATGAAAAGAGGGATTAATAAAAATTATAAAATAGAAACTTAGTCTGGTATGAAATTATAACCCTTAATCAACCTTTGATTCTATATTGATGCTCCAACATCTTAGATATAAATTTAAGTTTGATGCTGATTTAAAGTTAATATTTATGTCACTTAACTTTTGGTTATATCAGTGATTTGCTACTAGTTAATATGTAAATGCAAAATCTGTTTAAGTAAGAAATGAATAAACATTGTATGTTATGTATTTGTCAGTTTTATTTTAGGTAATTTACCTATGTCTTCTTTAGTAGGAAAAGCCATTGGTCACAAAGCAAAGTGGTTCACAATATTAGTTTATTTTACAAGAATATACAGATATATGAATGACCCATACCTACTAATAGTTAGGAATGTTAAACAAACAGGTAGCAAAATAAAAATGTTTCAGTTATGGTTATTTTTTATTAAAATAAGGCACCAAATATCTTCCTTAACATAATGCAGTCTACATAGGAAAATAAGCATATGTAACAACTTATTAAACAATACAGACATTACTACTGAACACACGCAGGTGCACCAAATTAAATGCATTACGACCTAATGTAGATGTATTCATATATGTAGATACTTAACTAATGTAAGTGTTAATTTGCAGCAATGTCAATATCTTGTTTGTGTGCTGTTATATACAAAAAATTGTTCAATTCATAAAACCTAACGTTAAATGTTGTGATGATTTCATAAAATTACTATGATACCTACAGTTACTATGAATACATCCTGGGCGATTAAAAAAATAGTGATTGTGTCCTTAACACAACAATTGTAAATAATAATAGTTATTGTAAAGATATAATTCTTCCCAAAATCTACAAATGCAGTTTGTTTATAATAATATCTCATTAACATTCAAACTGCTGAACTTATTAAGATTAAATGTGGAAAAACATAGTTTCAGTTACTGTTTCCTGTTCTTGAGGTAATGTTACTTAACCAACCATTATTTCATACTCCACTTGTCTTATATTTTACATTATTCATAAAATGCTTCGTTCCCCATTATCAAATTCATTTTCAGGTACATAATATAACACTTTAATTAATTAAAGATAAGACTTTAATAAAAACTTGTCCATTTGTGGTTTTTTTAATATATTTAGTTGCCTTATTAGCTTCTCTTTTTCTGAAAATAAAATATTTTAGTTAGTGCTTTGATCAATACGTAACTTTAATATTAAAAGTCTTTACTTAATTCTAAACTTAAAAATATACTTAATTTCTCACTTTGCTGCTTATTGTCAATTAAAGTTTTTAATAACCCAACAATGTCAGTAACTCCCAAGGTACTTGAATTCAAACTTCTCATTCATTAACAATATTATAATAAATTCTCTAGTATATTGACTTAATAAATAATTAAAGAAAATATCTGCTTACCATTACTTAGTATTGCTCACTAGATTTTATATTTCCAAAGTTCATAAAGTATAAATCCACTTTATTTGATTAATTAAAATCAATATTATATCATTATCAGCTTCTATTATAATTACAATAAAATATATTTAGAACTTCTAATTATGTTCATTAGTGACTGCTTTCTCATCTGAAATATACAAATAAAATGTACAATCATTTTACTTTGTGATTACATAATATATGCAATATTAAATGGTATATGTATTTTTCAAATTAAAGAACAATTTCATGAACTTACATGCAATATAAATATCAATAAAAGATATCCAATATAACTAGGATTTACCTCTACTAATTTGCTGATTTTCTTGATATTTTCATATTTATCTGTGTCTATTATGTTATCCTCGCATTGATTCATAGAAAAACTAAAACTCTTAACTTAAAAATATTAACTCTAGTTTAAAATATTATAATTACACGAGAACGTTAAAAAAAGACAGATAACAAATTAAAACCATTTCGTTAAAATGTCCAAAATATGACATGTTTTTAAAACAGTAGCCATTAAAAATGGCGATAGTTGTACTGAATTATTGCAAACAGCAGCTTTTGAGATCACGCTAAAACATGGCGGAGAAACGCCGTTTTTTCTACACTGCCGAAACATTAATTGGCCGTTGGCTACCGAATAGCGTAAGCGTTAATGTGTGTCTTTTCGTAGCACTGTCATGGCGTCGCTTATTGTATCCCGACTCACGCCTTTAGGGCCTCCGGCCTAGGCTACCGACTGTCGACACGAGCTGTCATTTTCATACAAATTTAGTTTTCGACTTTCTACATACACTACTGTTAAGCCATCTTGGCTAGACCCCCTTATACTAACACAGAAAGCAAATCTGCGTACAGTACTTCACCTATGACATTTTGACAGCCGACACTCGACAGTGATGAGTGAATAGAAAAACACTGTGAAGTGTGAACTGTGAAGTGCAAGCAAACCGATTACCGAAGTCCAAACAGCTAGGACAGCATAGTGCATACTAAAAGAAATCTTGAAAAGTAAAAATTTAAAATGTCGGTCAGCCAAGTTCACCAACCCAATATTGATACGAAGAAAAGTGATAAAAATTTAAAGCTTCTGTTTCCAAAGCAAGCTGAATGTTCTTATGTGTCGTGTTATTGGTAAGTAAATATGTACGTGCAATTTTATTTCAATATTTTCTGTCCATTGCGGTAAAAAAGATGTTGAATTTCTATCGTCTGTTATTGCGGCACTGCAGTGAAGAAAATGTCTGGAAGCTCTGTCAGGATGTATCGTTAAGAGTACCAGAAGAATTGGATCGATGTTTTGTGGTATTCATATCGAATCCCTGTCGCACTGTGCCTTTGTGGAAACAAAGGGCTGGGCGCGAAGAAGATCGCCTCGTCATTTGGGTGTGTACTAAGTCACTCAATGTTTCATTGCATGGGTTTTATTATTTGATTTATATTCTGTAATTTAATCTATATTTTGGGTTTATATTCCTAGTTTTTTAGTTAACTGAATTAATATTTAAAAAAAAATATTTATTTTTACAAATATTTTAATTTATGTAATCTTGAACATTGAATATTTATATACATATGTTAATTTAATATAAATGTAAATTTGTTTACAGGACTACCATGTCATATTCCTATACTCAATTGACTTGAAGTCATGTTTGGTTTATGACTTAGATTCTGAGCTTCCATTCCCAACATTCTTCCATAAATATGTTACAGAAACATTTCGTACAGATCAAGTTCTAAAATCTGATTTCCACAGGTAATGTGATTTATAATTTGAGGTTATTTTAATTATGTTTTTATAATTCAACACTTGTATAATTTATTTTCAGGTTCTTTAGAGTTGTGCCAGGTAAATATTTCTTACAGCATTTTTCATCTGATCGACGTCATATGAAACGACCTGATGGTTCCTGGATTAAACCACCACCACCATATTCTGCTATATCTGCATCAGGTAAAACTGTATATTATTTATGTTCTACAAATAATTACCACTACTAAGACAATTAAAGTAAATAAAGAAATCTTTCTATGGAAAACAGTGACTCTAGTTGTAATTACAAATTTTGACAATGGATGTTGACAATTCGAAATATTAATTAAACCGTTGCAAGATATAAATTTATTAATTTATAAGTAATCTTACAGCTACACATATCCATATTATAAAAGAAAACTACTAAATATTTTAAATTAATATATATATTTAAGAATACAGTAGAACCTCGTTAATTCGAACCTCGATAAGTCAAAAACCTCCAAATCTCGAAAAAATGTTTTGTTCCCTTCCCTTAAAACACCAAAACCTCCATTACTTGAAATCTTGACCCTCTGTTAATCGAAATAATCAGCGAGTCCCTCCAAGCCATTTTGGTACATATTTTCACTCTATAACTCGAAAAAATAAATTTGACCTCTGTATCTCGAACATAGGAACGTTTTATTTTACGACCTTTACAACTTGATCATTTGGAATTTATTATGTCTATTGTTCGAACAAAAATAAGTTACCGACTTTAAGAACTTGCCGACAATGTGAGTACACTATTGTTTCTTAGAAAACATTTTAGGAGTATACAATAATAAATTTATGACTCATGGAAACACGTGTTTGCTTGCTTTTGTCAGGTGTTCAATTTTGATTCCCTTTGAAATTTAGCTAAGCCAGTCATTTGTTTTCGACTTAAATACTGTCAGAAGTAGTTTGGTTCTCTCTAACTCAAAATTTATAAGAATAAACCTCAAACTCTTTATGTCGAATCAAAATCCGCCTAAGTCGAAATCTTCCATAAGTTGAAAACTCTATAACTCGAATTTTTTGGCGTCTCCCTTGATGTTCGACTTATAGAGGTTCTACTGTACTATTATTATAAGTCATATTACTACTATACTTTGTATTGTTGTAGATCTTGGGTTGTAACCAAAAAAAAATATTTTTATCAACCTACATATGTTTTGTTAACAATAAAAAATGTAATAGATAAAAGCTGTCTTTTTAAAGATTATAAAAATTACCAAATTACCATTGGTTCTATTCAGTTTGTTATATTTATTTTTATATGAACATTGCTGGTATATTTCATGATGAATTAAAATCGTTTTTCAGCATCTTCTCACAACTTAGATGAGTACATCAATATGGATGCCGATATTGGTCCTGGCCAAGTTTTTAATCTTACTGAATTTGTTCAAAGATTCTATAAGATAGAAAAGTGAGGATATATTCATTAGAAAATGGTAATTATGTTAACTTATACAAGATTAACTTGGTTTTTGTATTATTATGATATGTTTGTTAAGTTATCAAATTGAATTAATGATTAAGTGTTGCATTTATACTTATACTGTAGAATTTTTTACTAAGTACATTTATTCTCAGTTTCATCATATAGGCTTTTTTAGACTATGTGTATGTATGACTATGTTATAATACAACTACAAGTTTTCAAAATATATTAATGGCAGCACCAAATAACACAGTATGACATTTTGTGCACAGACACTGTTGATTCTAAATTATACAGGTGTATTTGATATAATATAACAGTTAAATAGGATTTGTGTAGCTTTTGCAAAAGGTAATTTTGATGGCATTCACATGGCCTGTTGGTTCAACTAGAGAGGAATTTGTTATATAAAGAGGTTTTTGACTTTGAAATGGAGAAAAGCTTGACAATATTGTAACAATTATTTGTAGGCCTAGCTGGATTCCTAAAGATAACTATTACGGCAATTGGTGTATAGTATAAATATCAAATGCTCTTTATTAAAATATGTATATGCTTAATTAAAACCATTTTACAAAGCAAGCTTCAGTTACTATAAATTACTATTTTCGGAAACTGACATGATATTAAATTCTGCTTTTAATGTATGTTGACCTGAAACACCATTTTGCCCACGTTCTCCTTCACAATTTATACTAAAATTACATGCCATATGAAAAAAAACATTCTTAAAAGTTCTATGTAAAATATATTGCGGCTTACCTGTTTCGTGTCGTTGGTAATTTTCGATACTTATCACATTGCGTGTGAATAATATGTAACCTAGCAGTTGCGGTTAGCTGTAATTAAATAATTACGCTTTAAACTAAAAATGTTGATACCTAGATTTTTGTATTGATCGCCCCAATTTTTTTACTAGGTTGCTCACATTGACGGCTAATGCTGTAAGTTTATTTGAAATAATATTAAAATATTGTCTTATATAAATATAAATAATAAGTCATTAGTGGTGTATAACACGATCGCGTGGTAGCTTTTGTATGTTGTTAAAATTTGCTCTACAAGTGTGCGATTTTCATAAGGTTGTCAAATTGAATTTAAAGGGCCACCAGAAGGCAAATTACATATTGTATAACAATCTATGCCAAATAATAGCATTTAACCTTAAGAGTGTATAATAATATTCCTACATAAGCTTTCTGGGGTTGCATGCTTGTAGTTCGTCTATTTAATAATTTTGTATTAACTTTTATACACTCTTTTTATCCTTCCCTAGCACCCTTAGCGTTATTATATCGTAATGTTTAATATACAAAGATTATTGCATTTAATTTGTTATATAATTAATCTTATCATTATCTTGAGCTTATAACTGGATATATTTTACTATAAAGTTTGAATTACAAGATATTTTATAATCAGCCAAAAAGAACCTTTAATGTACAAATTTATTTAGATTTTATCCAGATAATCTAGGTTAACAAGGTTTTTAATAAAGGGAATGTTTTATGAATCATTGCCCAGTATTATATAAACAAATAACTATATCTTTCACATATTTTATAAACTTAACACTTATCAAATACTATATACACCTACAGCCAAGTTTACATTATGAATTTTTATGATATAATAGCAAATATAAATAAGTTATTATAAACATTTTCATAATATTACTGGATAAATGAATTTTATTAATTGTTGTTAAAAAAATCTAGTCAATATAGAATCTAATATTAAATTTAAAGTTTTAAAAATTCTGTTAATCTTCTGTTAAATACTTACTTTAAATATTTATGTAAAAGTAATTTTTATAATAGGTCTTAAACTTATGATAATCGATTTTACTATTTCTACTTTTAATAATCTTATATGATAACGCATGTAAAATAAGTATTTTGATGTCTTGAAGACTTACTCTCATACTTTGCTGGCCCATGTTTTATATGCGTTATTTTACTAAGAACAATAAATCTCTTTATCTTAGTAGAAAGTTGTATAATCAGGCGTAGCTGGATTAATTATGGGACCAATGTAACAAGAATGTATGAACACAGTATGAGGATTGCAAAAGGGGCTGTGGTTTCCCACTGGTTACGCCTTTATCTACATCTAATATCACTTAACTATTTAAATTAACACTCAATCGATACCTTCCTTCTACGCCTTTACATTTTATCTATTGACTGACAAGCCTGAGTGATAATGTGCTTGTGCTTTATGTACTATGTTATGTTTTTTATTTAAAAGTTATTATTAAAGTGCTAAATAAGATTGCTCTTTAAAAATAACTTAAATAAATAAAACACCAAATATGCTGATGAGTTTTTATTTCTATCAAATGATTAAATTTGTAGACAACGTGTAAATATGTTTATTTTAAGTAAGGTAATTTTAGTGTAAATGCACTAAAATTACCTACCTACCTGCACTATAATAAATCTATTAGCAGTTTCGATTTAGTACAATATAATAATTTTTTTTACAGTACATTCCGTTTAAAAAATGGTGCTATCTAGTTAAAATTTCTGCACCTCCTTCTGTAATTAATATAGTATGTTCACATTGAGCTGTTCTAGATCCATCTTCTGTAACTACAGTCCAACCATCATCTAATATGTATGTATTTTCTCGGCCATGAGATAATACTGGTTCTATAGTAAATGTCATACCAGCTTTCATCAAACCGGGATATCTGTTAACTATAAAATTAATACATAATTGAAAATTATTATATTGATAGATTCATGTATTATATTTAAATTATTAATTTTAATTACACTTACATTATCTACTAATACAATTTTTAAGGCAGTGAAATTTAATTAATAAATTATTGTTTAGTAAAAACTTGCTATACTACACAAAATATAATTATTAGGATTTGATAGGGAATAATGGAAACGAAATAATCTTTCATTTCTATAATTACTGTATTTATATTCACTAAATTTTGTGAACTTACTCATATGAAAGATATCTGGAGGACCATGAAAATATTTGCCAATGCCATGTCCTGCAAAGGCTGGCAAAACTGTCAATCCTTTACTCTTTGCATATCTGTGTATCCTTAAACCAATATCACAGAAAGGAACATCAGGTCCACATAGTTTGATAGCCTGCAAAACCATCACTTATTTGGATTTCTTTTAAAGATCAAACCAAGAAATAACATTAAAATTTACATGTGAAAGGCATTCTTCAGTTACTGCAACCAGTTCTTGTCCCTTTGCATCAACTGCACCCACTAAAAATGTTTTTGAGCAATCTCCATGATAACCATTGTAATAAACCTGAAATATTTTTTTCATTACTGATAAAAAGCTAAACTTTGTTAGTTGAACATACAAATAGTAGGAACTAAAGGTTCATATTAAAAAAAAATATTGGACAATTGTTATGAGTTGTATACATGATATGGGAACATATTTATCGTAGTACTGTCATAAAACAATATACTTACTGTTATATCTACATTAACTATATCACCATTTGCTAATGGTCTTAGATCTGGGATACCATGTACAGCAACATTATTTACAGATGTACAAACACTTTTTGGAAACCCTCTATAGTGTAAAGGTGAAGGATAGGCATTAGCATTAATAATGAAATAGTGAATTAAATCATCAATGTCATCTGTTCTTACACCAGGCTGAAACAGTTAATTAAACCTAAAAAAAATATAGCACCTGGGTACAGTATGTAACTTTATTTGCACTTAAAACACCTACTTGAATAAAAGACTGCATTCTATTTAATATGCTTGCTGCAAGCTGGCAACTAGCGCGCATTCCATTTATCTGTTCTTGATCTTTGGTTTCAGGTAATTTGGGAATTCCATGAGGAAGGCCTGTTATATAATCCGGTCTTGCTATGTGATCAGGCACTGGCCTACTGGGTGTGGTTTCAATTGGATAGACTTTTTCATATGCACCAAATTTTTTTCTAAAATAAGAACTATAGAAGTTAAAAACTAAAAGGCATAGAAACAAGACTTTTTCAAACTTAATAAGACAATATTAACATTTAGAATAACTTATACAAACCGAGTACCTAACATAAGGTTTCAATAGTCTATTCTAAATCTGGTCTGCTTAAGACCTTACAAATAAGTAATAAACTTACAACAATTTCATCTGATACATTGGACTAAGTACTCTTGGGATTCTCATTTTTTTGTCCTCTTAATATATTTTTGTATTATCTTATAGTAAAGGGAACAATTTTGTATTCATGTATTTTTCTTCATTCTTCATTAACATTAAAAGTTAGCATTTGGTATTTTTGTCAGGCACTTAGTTATGATTTTTACTTAATAAATCTCTTACACGTGAGTTCTCCAAAATTGACCTATGGGCCTGATCAAGCTTGAAATATGCATCACTAAATAAGGCAAGTTTACAGGATGTATTTTCTTCTAGAGGCGTAATTTTTTTACATACTTATTTAGTATTTTTTTTATTAAATAGCGTACTCTCAAATATTGAATATTTTGTTATTTAAATTTCAAACTTAAGAATTTTGTGATTCGTACATTAAAATTTAATGTATTTATTACAGTTTTCTGTTTTACATAAACTACACAGTGATCAGTGAAGTGACGATTACAAAAAAAATATTATTCCCATAGATAATACGTTAATACTAGTATATCTAGGTAAATTGTTTATTGTTCTAATTTCGAAATTTCATTTGATGCAAGGGTACATTAAATATAATAATAATATATGTTTCTTTTTAAATAAATAAATATTGCGAGTGGATGTCGAAGATCTAAATGACTGTGACTAGAACTATCTCGAGTATAAACTATCTATAGCACAGTAGTTAATATGAGTATTTATAAAAATATATGAACTTTTCTATATTAATGCTATACGTACCAACATAAATTTATTATTTTTTCTCAAATAGATGCGAAAATTGTTATCACGACCAGAATAAATTTGTCTTATGATCGCCATTGCGCTGGCTCCACTTCTGACTTTGTGGTCAGTAGTGTATAAATACTCTGTGGTTATGTGATAGTCCTAGTCTGTAAATTGTTTTGTTAATTGTTTACAATTTTACATTACGCTTTACAAGTTACAAGTGTTACTACCACAATCAATTGCTTCATTATCCAAAAATTTGTTGAATTTTTAAGTCTTTAAGTATAAGGACATTCTTAATAGTTGATGAGGTTTAAACAGGTTTCCAGATCATCTTGTATCATTTTCCAAAGCGATGTCTCAAAGTAAGTCCTAAAACGTAAAACATAATTTAAATCTATCAAATGAAGATTAGTATTGATTTACTGATTACTTAGCTTCAGAAAAGCCGGTGGCAAATCAAGACATATCAGATCCCACGGGCCCAGCTGCTCGAAAAGGTGTTCTGGTGTCTTTTCGAACAGGAAAGACGATGGAAATACCAGAAAAGGATATAGTAAGTGACATAACCTCTGTATTTTCCAAATCGTTTTTCTTTAAGTTTGTTACTTCAAGGATAGCTTGGATCTCATATTTCACTTATTTATTAACGCCCAGTTTCTGAAAGCACAGTCAACGTTGTAATCGAATAACATTACTCGAAAAGGTTTGTAATATTTGGTTGGGTTTTAATTCCAGCATCACTGTTTAATGTAAACCTTAGTTTTAGAAACTCAAAAATACATTTCAATTATTTATGTTACGAAATTCAAGTCTGTTAATGATTAAATTAACCATAAATGCAATTGACTGCACATAACATAAATTGTGACATTCTGCACATAACATAGAGATTTGAAACTTGATTAGTAAATTTTTCAGAAACTGGATGTTTTAATTATTAATATATTTTATTACAACTCTCAAAATATCTTTAGTTAGGAAGATGCCGCTTTGTTGGAGAATTTGAAAAACTGAATCGCATTGGTGAAGGAACTTATGGCATAGTGTGTAAGTATAGCACCAATTATTAAACATTTTGTTTCGTCATATAATAAAATATGTTAAAATTTTTTTAAAAACAGATCGCGCCAAGGATAAAGTTAGTGGAAATATTGTTGCATTGAAGAAGGTCAGAATGGATGTTGAAAAAGATGGATTGCCACTTAGTGGTCTTAGAGAAATACAAGTATTAATGGCATGCCACCATGAAAATGTGGTACAACTAAAGGAGGTGCTGGTAGGACGATCCCTTGAGAGGTATTATACCAACAATAAATTTTACTTTTTGCCGTATACAGTAAACTCCCTTATAAGTTATAACATGGTACCCATTATAATGCATTTTTATATTATGTGATTTCAGTCCTTCCCATTTATATTCCCTATTATAATGATTTGTACGCAATTGTTTCGTGCATAACATAGTTTTTTGTTAATATTAGATTTAATTCCCTTTAACAAGAAAAGTTTAACTTTTATTAATCTAATTATTTTATTAATCATTTGTACATAACGCGTTATATGGGTTCATATAAGCGCGTTATGCGAGAATTTTCCTACAATGCGTTTCCTATAGTGCGGAACCAATCTACTGTGTTATAGGAAAGATAACTGTATATTCTATTACCTTACCTTTATGAAAAAAAATGTACATTAATGTTATTTAAAGCTTTTTGTACATAGGTACTATCATTAATTATATAAATTTTACCATAGGTATAGGTGTTTGAGTTTTAATACTAAAGAACAGAAATGCCTTGTTTTCAAGAACAACAACAGCTTGTAGAGTTGATTTTCAGACTAATACAGTTGTGACTAATATTATTTCAGTATCTTTCTCTCAATGGAATATTGTGAGCAGGATTTGGCGTCTCTACTTGATAATATGTCATCTCCATTTACTGAATCCCAAGTTAAATGTCTTATGTTGCAAGTGTTAAAGGGATTGAAATACTTACACTCCAATTTCATAGTGCACAGAGATTTGAAGGTATCAAACCTATTGCTTACTGATAAAGGTTGTGTAAAAATAGGTAAGAATTCTTTCTATATAATTACATTAAGGTTTAAGGTTTCTTTAATTTTATTGTGTGCTTATATGACTTGAAAAGGTATGATAAAAAAATATGTCTTAAATAATGTCTCAGCCTTCATTACGCTTTAAAAGCTCGCATTAAGCTGGTGTTGTTATTATTTAATAAAATTACTAGTAACAGCACTCTGCCAAACAATGTGCTGTACTTCAATTATTTTTTACCTCCATAATACCGGGCATGATTGAGTAAAAACGAAATTCGGTAGAAGTTAGAGTTTGTGGTTTTTTGTATCAAGGAATTTATATTGTATTGTCTTTTTATTTGGAGCCAACCATTGAAATTAGAGTGAAGGATCAATACATATTCATTGTTTTTAATTCAAGCATCACATACTTAGATAATATATGTCTAAAGATAAGGTTAATCAAAACTATGATGAGTGGTTTTGGTTAGTGCCCACTCTTAATGCCTAGAATCAAATCATCTGCTTTTAGTTATTATTTTAAAGTATTGAACTTTCAGCTGACTTTGGCCTAGCTCGTTGGTTAGGTGCCCCAGCCAGATGTGCAACGCCTCGAGTTGTTACCTTGTGGTATCGTGCTCCTGAGTTACTCCTACAATCACCCAAACAGACCCCCGCTTTGGACATGTGGGCAGCTGGTTGTATTTTGGGTGAATTGTTGGCTAACAAACCCTTATTGCCGGGCAGAAGTGAAATAGAACAACTTGAGTTGATTGTTGATTTGCTTGGTGAGTTATTTTGTATACTAGGAATCGAAAAATCTCTAGGTTAATAGACTTTTTAAAAAAGAAATTTGTGCGGTGAGAAGTTTTTTTTTATAATTTTTATATTCACATTATTTTGGAACTTAAAAAATAAACAAATTATTTTAGATAAATACGTAAATATGCACTAAGAGATAATAATGAAAGATTGTCGAGGTAAATTAAAATAGAACTGAAGTATTATGGTGGTATTACAGGGACTCCTTCGGACGCAATTTGGCCAGAATTCAGTTCATTACCGGCTTTACAAAACTTTACACTGAAGCAGCAGCCTTACAACAACCTAAAGCAGCGATTCCCTTGGCTGTCGGCTGCAGGCCTGCGACTTCTTAACTTCCTCTTCATGTATGACCCAAAGAAGCGAGCAACTGCCGAAGAATGTCTCCAAAGTTCATACTTCAAAGAACAGCCATTACGTAAGTTTTTAAAAATATCGGTAACGATCTTAAAATCAGTCCCCGAATGTGATGATACTGATTATGCAGGAGTCTCAGGGCACCTTAATTGGAACACCTCCAAGTGATTTTTGCTGCCGGAAATGCGTCTAAGTATTTTAAGACCAGCCTTAGCCGCTACAGCTTGCATAATGCCTCTGCTTTGTTACAGCGGGTGGGGGCTGCTCTTCCTCCGCGCCTCCGATTTTTTATATACACTCTAGGGGTAGGGCAGAAAAGACCACGTGGATAGTGGGGTGCTCTGATTCGGTTTTTCTATTGACATCAGTCTTGACATCGGGCTTTAATGATACGAAACGCAAGAATAAGAACCATACAGATTATCATAACTATGAAACGACCCATAGATTGACTAAAAACAAATTCTTTCCTACTATATTGATTTTTTTTCAGCCTGTGATCCGAAGTTGATGCCTAGCTTCCCTCAACACAGGAATATGAAAGGCCAAAAGGGAACATCCAATCAACTGAACATACCCTTATCCAACCTAAACACTGGTGCCAACGATCAGACAAACAATCTCCCGGCTATTTCTGATCTCTTAGGATCTTTGGTCAAAAAACGGCGGCTAGATTAAGTTTTAGGATTTACATTAAACCTTTGATTTTAACAAAATGTTTTATTTCCACTACAAATGTTGTCGCTAATATTATAAACAACTAGGTAAACCTAGTTACAATGTCACACAGATACCCAAAACGCACTATAAGCGTTAATGCAATCAATGCTTAGTCTTATTATTCCATTGTGTACCACGAATCAAAGTTATCATGTAAGGGTTTTTAGCTGTAAGATTATAATTATATTAAAAGCCAGTCTAATATCGGCCACCATAGTGATAGGGTCTTGCATCGACCACCTTAGGATTAGGGTCTAACATCGACCAACTTAGAATAAGAGTCTCATATCGACTATAAGTTAAGAATATTAAGTGTAATTTACTTAATAAAGTTTTCCTTTTTAAAAAAACCTTTGAATACCGTCGCGATTTGACTGGCGCAGCCGGTAGGATATCCGTCGTAATCCTGTGCCTGTGAAGACTAAAAATCAGTCTGAGTGTAGGGTTGCGCGTGTGTTTTTACGCATTTAACGGATATTTTACGACCAAATAAATTAGTCATTATTGATCGCGTAATTCGACGGTTAAAGGCAAAAAGACTGTGATTGACTGTGTATTGTGTAAAATAGATTTAAGTAATTTTAAGTTGATAAAGATTTTAATTGAAATAAAAAGAAAATTATATTGAATTATTAAATAAGTAAAGAAAATAAATTTATATTATTTTTAATTTTTATTGTAATAAATAATTTTTGTTAAAAAATGCAAGAAATACGCACTATTCCAACTGATATTCTAAATATTATACCTAAGTTCGATGGGGAACAAAAACTATTAAATTTATTTTTAAATAAAAGTGAGTATGTCATTAGAGCCTTTAGGCCAGAACGTCCGAATATAGCACAAGATATATACATATTTCATGTTATTACAAGCCGCCTTAGAGGTAAGGCAAGTCACTTGATTAGCGAGAGACAAGACATTAATAATTAGGAGGAGCTAAGAACAACTCTTATCCAACATTTTGGAGATCCTAGAACTGAAGAATGTATTTCGATTGAATTAGAAAATATTAAAATTAATCAAGGCGAGTCATATTTAAGCTTTTGTAATCGAATCCAAAGCGTCCGTAGCACATTATTTTCAAAAATTAATTTAATAGAGGACGAGAATATTAAGAACGCGAAGATGAATATATATAACCATACATGTTTAAATGTTTTCCTTTTCAATTTGCCCGAAGATATGATACGCGTTGTCCGATTACATAGATGTACAACTCTAGAAGACGCGCTCAGTGTAGTAATGGAAGAAGTAAATTTCCTTAACCAATATAAATCACGGAGTGTTAATAGACAAAAATATACTCAAAATATTAATGAAAAAAATAATTTAACACAAAATAATTTTCCACAAAATAATTTACCACAAAATAATTTATCACGAAATAATTTTTCACAAAATAATTTTAATAAGTTTAATCAATTACCCCAATACCAAAATAAGCCTCCAATGAATTTCAAATTCGGAATACAATCACAACAACAACCTCAAGGATTTAAACCTAATTTCTCTAATTTTAAATTCGGTACCAACCAAAAGCAAGGGATATATAATCCTAATAATCCTAATAATTCACAATTTAAGTTTGGTGGTGGACCACCTCAACTTGGATACAGGCAATTCCCCCAAACAACGAATCAACAACAATTTAAATTTGGTATCCCACAAAATCACCAACCAAAACCGGTACATAGATATGATAACGATGTATCGATGCGAACGGCGCCTCAAGCTAAGCCAAATTTTATGACACCAAGAACATCAAATAATTTATTTTATACAAATTACATGAACGACGATATGAATAACTACACAGATTACGATCATGAAACATTTTATACACACGAAGATAATTATCCCTATGAATATTATAATATAGATCCGAATGATTTTACACCAGAAAATTATTGTCAATTAGAACAAAATTCAGAAGAAGCGGTTGACACCTCAGAACCTGAAAATTTTCATACACAAGCCTCAATAACCGACAAACCGAAGTAATACAATTAAATCATCACGGTGCTTTAAAGTTGCCACATATTGAAATTCCCGAAATAAATAGTAAGTTTATGATAGACACAGGTAGTTCAAGATCCTTTATAAGTCCTAAAATAGTAAATAAGTATTTGACAGAATTTAAATATTATGAGCCATTCGAAGTCGTGAGTACACACGCACAGAGTCACCATAACGAAGTAATTTATATACCCCTCTTTAAAACTTTTTGTAGTACAGATTATCATAAATTTTATATCTATAATGTGGATAGCGATTATGGCGGTTTAATAGGATCAGACCTATTAAAACAACTTGACGCTAACATAGACATGAAAAATCAAATTTTAAGAACTCGTGACACAGAAATACCAATTATTTATAGTCCACCATTTGCCATTCATGTTGATGCACGATCTGAAACTCGTGTTAAGGTTCCTGTTAATCTTCCTAATGGACAAGCAATATTAAATTCAATTAATTTTGGTAAAGGTATAAGAACACCATCTGCTCTTGTAAAATGCGAAAACGGTTATGCTACCACTATAATACAGAATTCATCAGATAAAAACTATGAAATTAAATTCACTAAACCTCTAATAGTTACAAGTTACAATGAAGAAATAATTAATATAAATAATACTCAAACAATTAATGATTATAAAATTGATAAAATTCTGAAACAAAATTTGTCTAAATTACGTTTTGAACATATGAATGAGGAAGAAAGAACTAAAATTTTTAATTTGTGTTTTGAATATAGAGATATTTTTTACAGCGAGCATATACCATTAAGGTTTTTAATCAAGTTAAGCATAAAATTCGTACAACTAATGAAGACCCAATTTACGTAAAGCCTTATCGTCAATCTCCAGCCGAAGCTGTTGAAATTAGGAATCAAATAGATAAACTTTTAAAAGATAATGTAATACAAGAATCTAATTCTCCATGGTGTGCACCTGTACACCTCGTACCAAAAAAAATTGACGCTAGTGGTGAAAAGAAGTTTAGGATGGTTGTTGACTATAGAAGACTGAATGACATTACAATAGACGATAAATATCCATTACCTAATATAACTGACCTCTTTGACAAACTAGGTAAAAGCTGTTACTTCTCAGTACTTGATTTAGCTAGTGGCTATCACCAACTGGAAATAGAAAAAGAAGACCAACCTAAAACTGCCTTTTCAACTCAATTTGGACACTATGAGTTCCTTCGAATGCCGTTTGGGTTAAAGACCGCACCAGCGACATTCCAACGAGCAATGGACAATATTCTTAGAGGACTGCAGGGCATACATTGCTTAATTTACTTAGATGATATAATTATCTTTTCATCTAGCCTCGACGAACACCTAATAAAACTAAAACTAGTATTCGACAGACTTAGAAAGACCAACCTTAAAGTCCAACTCGATAAATCGGAATTCCTTTGCAAAGAAACAAATTACTTAGGACATACAATTACACCCGACGGACTAAAACCAAATACCGACAAAATAGACGCTATACTTAATTACCCAGTACCAAAAACTACGACAGAAATTAAGAGCTTTCTCGGACTTATTGGTTATTATCGAAAATTTATAAAAGACTTCTCAAAGATTACACAACCTATGACAGCATGTCTAAAAAAGAACAGTAAAATTGTAATTAATGAAAATTATTTAAAATCATTTGAAAAATGCAAAGAACTTCTTGTTAATGCACCATTACTTCAATATCCCGACTTTACAAAGCCTTTTATTTTGACAACTGACGCATCTGACTATGCACTTGGAGCTGTACTCTCGCAGGGCCAAGTAGGAAGTGATAAACCAATAGCATATGCTAGTAGAACTTTGAATGACACAGAAAAACGTTACAGTACTATAGAAAAAGAGTTATTAGCGATAGTATGGGCAGTTAAACACTGTCGTCCATACCTATATGGAACAAAATTTACAATTTATACAGACCATAGACCATTAGCTTGGCTAGATTCTCTTAAAGAACCAAATAGTAAATTGACTAGATATAAACTCAGATTAGCTGAATACAACTTTAAGGTCATTCATAAGAATGGAAAGCAAAACACCAATGCTGATGCTCTCTCACGTATTAAATTAAATGCTCTAGGTAAAAACGATAAAGATAATCAATCAATGGTAGTTAATGTAGATAACTCTGATAGAAATCTTGATGACTATATTCAAGAATTAACCGATTCAATAACACGATTAGGACAAAACAACCAAAGTAAAGAACCTGAAAAAGATAACAGTAACTCTATGTCTTTTTCTGAAATATCTAGGTCTATTCCATCTCGAGTTTATTCCAGGTCATCATCACGCACATTAACAATAAACTCTAGTACAGATACAGCACATTCTGCTGAAGATATGGATACTGATGGCATTCCCATACTTTACGAAGCTATAGATACAAAACCAAACCAAATATTAATATACCCATGGTTTAAAAATGAACTTTCAGTTAAAATTCGTTCACATCCCAAGCAAAAGATTTTAGAGGTTCACTTACCCCTAGATAATTCCGAGTTAATAAAAAAATTTCTTAAAGAATATATTAGACCCAAAATTAAATACTTTATTTATTACGAAAATAAAGCACACCGACAATTATTCACACAAGTATTAATTTCATTATTTAGAAAAGAAACCGTAAAGCTTTATTAATGCACTGAAAGAGTAATTAATGTCACTGACGAAAAAGAACAAGAGGAAATAGTAATGAAGTATCACGTAGGCAAAACCTGTCACCGAGGTATTAAAGAAACAATTTCTCATTTAAAACGAGTTTATTTTTGGACAAATTTAGAAGAAACCGTAACCAGTTTAATAAATTCATGCGACACTTGTAAACGTATGAAATACGATCGTAGACCATTTAAACCTCAATTACAACTTACACAAACTCAATCAAGACCTTTTCAAGAATTATTTATAGATTTATTCT